CATTATTGTAAGACATATTGTTTGTATTTTGCTATAAAACTGAGAGAATTTGAAAGCTGAGATATTGTTTTATATTAAAAGAACCAAAAGCACAAAGCTTATATTATTGGGTTGCTGGCGAAACTAACAAATGAAGGCATTCGAAAACGTGAAATATTATTTCCAAGCATACTGTCCCTGCGAGTATATGACACATGGTATGATTTCTGCTAATAATCCCACATATATTCAAATCAGTTGCCAGGCCAGCAGAATTTCTCCCAGTGCTCGCAATCCAGGCAATTTGCTTGCGCAACATAGGCTATACTCTCAAAATATTATAACTTTAATCTTATAATTGCTACGACTTAATTCTCGTCATTTTGACTTTATTCTCAAAATATTTTGACTTAATTCTCATCACTTTGACGTTATTCTAAAAATATTTTGACTTTAATCTCTTAATTTTGATTTATTCTCAAATTATTTTGACTTTATTCTCATTATTTGACTTTATTCTCAAAATATTTCGACTTTATTCTCGTAATTTTGACTTTATTCTGATAATATTGTGTATCGCGATCTCACAGGCTGACGATAGGACGATATGACTATAGAGGATATCGCCCAACACTAATAACTACCCAGGTTATTAATGGTGAATAAAATAGATTGTAGAAAAGATGCATCATGACAAAGTTTTAGAAGTTGAGTAGATCTGCCAAAAATTTTAATGTGAAAGGTCTTACCGACAAAATTGCTTACTGCAGAGCTCAAGGTAGAGTTTACCCTAGTATATGTATCTGAGCAGCTCTTGTTGAACAAATACTCACTCATAATATTAGATAAACCACCTAAATTGATTTGATTTGGTTACCTGGAGGTCCATCAAATCCCTTAGCTCCAGGTGGCCCTCTGGGACGGACTTAATTCTCTTAATTTTGACTATTCTCAACATATTTTGACTTTAATCTCTTAATTTTGATTTATTCTCAAATTATTTTGACTTTATTCTCATTATTTGACTTTATTCTCAAAATATTTCGACTTTATTCTCGTAATTTTGACTTTATTCTCAAAATATTTCAACTTTATTCTCGTATTGCTACGACTTTATTCTAGTAATTTTGACTTTATTCGCAAAATATTTCAACTTTATTCTCGTATTGCTACGACTTTATTCTAGTAATTTTGACTTTTTTCTCCAAATATTACGAGTTTAATCTTTTTAAAGTGTTTAAAAATATCAATAATTTTTTAACGTGCCACTAAAACGCTGTCGTATGTGAAGGTTCTTACTGTCTTCAGAAAAGATTCGATGGTATTTTGTTTTCATCTTCACTCCATGTAATATCTAATAAAGAAGTGTTCTTGTTGCAATGCTTTGTCCACGAAGGTTACGGGAAACAGCTCTAATTCTGCTGTTCCATAAGCGCCACCTGCTGTCAGAGAGTGGATTTACAGAGTTACCTTTACATTCAGCCTGTGCGCAGTTTTTGTCTGTCCAAAAAACGGACTGAATTTGCATGCCCTGCTGTAAATTTTGACCAGTTGATGAAAAACAAGTTTATGTGGATTCTACCCTTTTAAACAATTTGGATAAGGTATCTAGAATTATTTATGGAGCAGATAAAACACATATAATCATTTATTAATCAATTTTCATTCAATCATTTTGACAACCCTTTTCTTTATTTTTTTTAGGTTTACCATTTTATGAAACTTTTTCAAAGCTTTATTTGAAGATTTCGTACGTTATTAGATAAACTGTTGTCAGTCATGTTGTTATTTAAAATAATTGGTAATGTTATTGTTTTAGTGTTAATGCAAACAAAAAGTAATTTTATTTGTTGTTTGTTGATTTTAAATATAAAACTTGGTGAAACTATTTATGTGTCAGTACTTTTTGAAAATTTCCAGCACATTTTAACAATACCATAATACTGATAACCGTGATAATTTTGGTTACTATAACCGTGATAAGAAATTTTCATACCGTTTCATCTCTTTTCTTTGATAATGTAAATATTCTTTGCTTGTTTTCTGTTGCAGATGTT